ATTTGGGCTTATTCTTTTCCTGGAACCCAATTCCCATAAGCCATAATTAATCAAAATCAGAACTGTGTAAGCCAGTCTATTGTCTGCTTTGCACAACATATTAAACCAGATTATGGTTTCTGTTTAGTTGAGTATGTTCTATAAACCTAGCCATTGTGTCTGTAATGATGCTTTGTGAGTCTAGCTAATCATGCTTTTAGCATGGTCTCCACTGGCTCAGAGCAATGTCTCTATGAGGTTGCTGATTTTATTGGTATATTATCAATGCAGGGGTTCAGAACAGTGCTGGTGACAGGCACTCCCAGCTTAGGGTTAGTTTAACCCTCCCAACCCCTGGCAGCAATAATCAAATGAGCCATCTGCTAGGCTCCATCCTGCTGTTGGCAAAACCAGACCTCCAGAGAGCCTTGTAAAAAGGGCCAATCACAAGACTGACATGACCCACACCTGACCCCTCACTAGACTTTCACCTGTAGTGACCCTCCCACCACAAGACCTACTGACCACACAAAGCTCTTATAATCAGAACACCAACACTGACATCCCCTACATTCCACTGAAGATGGAAGGTGTGGTCACCTAGCCTGGTAATGAAATGTTCGGAAACCTTCTCACAAGCTCAGAGAATGAACCTCCACTCTCACCCTGCACCCGAGCTACAGATATTCATCATTTTTCCAAATGATGCAGGGATGATATTCCACAAGGAAGGAGCCACCTTAGAGAAGGCCCTTCTTCTTGGTCCCACTAGATGGACCTCCATAGGAGAAGGGACTCATAGCACTCCTCTCTGCTCTGGTGGGTCAAGTAGATAGCACTGTAAGAAGACAATCCTTCAAATAATCTGGTCCCAAGACATGCAGAGAGTCAATTGGGTGGCCATACAAATTTTCTTAAATCAATAAATAATTGATTCTCATTGAATCAGTTTTGGTATACATTACTCCTCCAGATTTTAAATTTGGATTGATTATATGTTCTTATTTCCCAACCATAAACTCATTTCATCATTTTGCATCTTCTGTGACTTGCAAGGGTAGCCTGAGAGGTGCTTAATGAACAGAATGGTCAGAGACTGGCCGAGCCAGAGGGGAGGAGTCAAATGTGGAATTAGTGTGGAAACCCTATATGGGCATAAGAGAACAAAGTCTGCAAACTGTCTGTTTGAGAAATTCCTGTGTTATTTGTGTGGCTTGAGCAATAAAATAGCTAATTAAGCTCTTCACATTGGATCTCATTGTTCCGCTTGTCATAAACAGGTTTTTTTTTAAAAAAAATCTTGGAATTTAATCTGTATTTCAACATTAATGTCTGCATGAAATTGCCAGCATGTTTTTAGAAGAGTCATTAAACCAAAAAGTCATGCATCTGGGTGATAGTATCTAACTTTTCTATATCCCTCTTTTAAAACTGTTCTAGTTTACAGATGTTAAGGATGACCAGATTCTTTTATTTAGTTGCAAAAGCATGAACTTTTCCAGCTTGAGACAGAATGATAGATTCTGCGGTTGACCTTTGCATTCCTCTGAGTGATGAATTTTATCATTCTGAGCAATTTCCTTTGGGGAGGAAAAGTCACTTTATGACTTTCAAAGCTTTTGACATCTTTTCTGCACTTGATGGATTGAGTCTTATTTACAGTCTGAGACTAAATAACAACAGCAATGCAAGTCCCAAAGTCAAAACAGACAAAAAAAAGATAAAGGAAAGGATAAAAGAATAAGTTAAGGTCGAATAAGATACGTAATATGGAGATAAAATATTCAGATCCATAGATCAAAAATAAATTAAACAGGCAACTCCAGCATTTTAAAAAATTGCTGGCACTGATATATTGCAGTGGAAGGATAAACCAAATAATGATGCATTATACAGGTAATCCTCAACTTGCAACCATTTGTTTTGTGACTGTTCAAAGTTAAAACAGCACTTGAAAGTGCGTTATGACTGATTTTCACACTTATGACAACATCTCCATGGTCACGTGATCAAAATTCGAGCACTTGGCAACAACTAAGGTGAACTGGACTGGGCTGAGAGAGAGAGGGACTGTCCCAAAGTCACCCAGCCACCTTTCACGCCCAAGATTGCATTAGAACCAAGACTCACCTTAGCTGGCTTTCATGCCTAAGGTAGGACTAGAACCCAAGTCACTTAGTTCGCTTTTTTGCCTTAGGTGGGACTAGAATTCAGAGTCTCTTGATGATTGGTTCAAAGTCACCCAGCCAGCTTTCATGAATAAGGCAGAACTGGAACTCATGGTCTCCAGGTTTCTAACCAGGTGCCTTAGCAACTAAACTGGCTCACCCAGGAGCTTCCAGAGATCCGTCACAAGCGCATGTTGTTGTAAGGAAGGGCAGATTCCCTCAAATGGAGTCCCAGGTCAATCCTGCTAATCTTCAGAGACCAGACAAGGCTGCTACCTCCATGTGTTATTGTTGCGATCTATACAGTCCTTGACATACGCCTATAATGGAGCCAAAAATTCCTGTTGCGAAGTGAAATATTGGTTAAGTGAGTTTTGCCCCATTTTGCGACCTTTCTTGCCACAATTCTTAAGTGAATCATTGCTTCCTATTGACTTTGCTTATCCAGTTATAACAAGTGATCATGACACTGCAACCGTCATAAATGTGAGTCAGTTGCCAAGCATCTGAATTTTGATCACGTGACCACGGGGAAGCTGCAACAGTCATAAATGAGAAAAACAGTCATAAGTTACTTTTTTCAGTGTCGTCGTAACTTTGAATGTCACTAAATGAATTGTTTTAAGTCCAGGATTACAGGTAGTCCTCAATTTACAACAGTTCATTTAATAACTGTTCCAAGTTACTAATTTAACAACTGCATTGATTCAGGTAACAAATTGGCCAAGAAAAGTTGTAAAATGGGACAAAATCAAAAAGTCCTCTCCTGGAGGAGCTGCATTGGTTGCCGATTTGCTTCCAGGTACAGTTCAAGGTGCTGATTGTCCCCTTTAAAGCCCTTCATGAGTTGGGGCCAGGTGATCTGAGAGGACGTCTCTCCCTGTCACACATCTACCCGACCTATTAGACGGGGAGGGAGGGAATCCTGTGGGTCCATCCCTGAGGGAGATACACTTGGAGAGACCCAGAAGGGCCTTCTCTGTAGTGGCTCCTTCTCTCTGGAACATTATTCTCCCAGAGATTAGAATGCCCCCCATTCTTCTTATGGAAGGCTCGGAAGACCTGGTTTGGCCATCGGGCCTGGGAAACCGAGTGAGATGGAGCCCATCAAATGGCACGTCAGGGCAGGGGTAGTGGGGGAGTTGGGGGGTGATTTATTTTTCCAGATTTTGTTCTATTGTACTTTATTAACTTATTTGGTACTTTTTTATTTTATTTTAAATATGGTTTTACATTCTGTAAGCCACCTTGAGTTGCCATGAGTTGAATAGGCAGCAATATAAATTTAATAAATAAATAAACCTCACTTAACAAATTTCTCACTTAGCAACATAAATTTTGGGCTCAACTGTGATTGTAAGTAAACGATTGAGTACCTGTCCTGTATGTCTATTTCCCCCCATGCATAAGCGCAATCCGGTTAGACTTAAGGTGAAGCCGCCACTCTGGGTGACAGGAGTAGGGCCGGTGCCAGAAGAGCATTCCCAGAAAGAATGGGGGCGGCTTGCAAGAAAGCAACGCAGGCTTAATTACACCTTGGAGCTCCTGCCCGCCTCGCCCGACCGGTTGTGAAAGAGCCAGCCCGACGGTTTCGGCGGCTCCGCTTGGGCGGCGCAGGCGGTTTATCCCTGGCTGGAAGCGAACCCAGTTAAGCCAGTCAAAGTCCCCTTTGCGAGCGTTGCAAGAACAGGTCGGGGGAGTTTCGCTCCCTCGTTCCCATCTGGCTCCGTCCCACCAGGTGCTGGGAAGGACCGACCCGGGCTGCTTCTCCCTGCAAAGTGGCGAGGGGTCCCCACTAAAAAGGGGGATCCTGAGTACGAGCCCCCGCTCCCCCCCACAAGCGAGCCTGCCTGCAGCAGAGACCGCCAGTCGCGGGCCCCGAGCAGGAACCGGCCCTTTGGCGGGACTGGAGTGTGGGCAGGTGGGAGAAAATGGCCAAGGGGGATGGTAAAAAACCGGGGGGTGAGGGGGGGAGAGGGCAGAGTTTTCGTAACTTGCGAGTTACTAACGACTGTTTTCTTTCTCCATCACTTTCTCCCCCACCCCGTCCCCCTTACTCCTCATCTCCCCGCCATTCTCCTCCTCCTCTTTCCACGCCCCTCCCTTCCCCCCTCCTCTTTGCGGGGATCCCCTCCTTCCCCCGCGCCCCTTCCCCAAACGCCCCGTCCTCCTTTCCTGGCTCCTCCCCCTTTCCTCCCGGTCCCTCCCGCGGCCCTTTCCTCCCTCCTTCCTTGCTTACCTCCTCCTCTTCCTCCTCCCTGGGCTTCCTCGCCCCTCCGCCCTGCCTCCCCCTTCTTCCTTTTTCCGCGCCCCTTCCCCAAATGCCCCTCCCTCCTTTCCTGGCTCCTCCCCTCCGTGACCGCTTCTTCGCTTGCCCCCGCCTCCGCTCCGCCTGCCCCCCTCCTCCAGTCCCCCGCGCCCCTTCCCCAAACTCCCTTCCCTCCTCCCCCGGCCGGCCTCGCCCTCCGCTCCCCTCCTCCCTCCCCGCAGGAGGAGCTTTCCCGGCAGGAGGCGGGGCCGGCGCACGCCCCGCCCCCCCCGCGGCCGCGCCGCCCCCCCGCCATGGGTCGGAAGCGCTGCGTGGGGGGAGACGGCTCCAAGATGGCGGCGGGCTGCTGCGGGGTGAAGAAGCAGAAGCTCTCCAGCTCCCCTCCGTCGGGCTCGGCCGGCCCGGGCAGCGGCGGCGGAGGGGGGGGCTCCCGCTGCGGCGAGCCGGGAGCGATACCGCCGGGGGCGGCGGCGGCCGGGGGCGGCCCGCGCCTCAACGGCCTCGGGGGGCTGGCGGGGGGCTCCCCCGGCTGCGCCCTCTCGCCGCCGCCTCGCCCGCCCGGCTGCGGAGGGGCCCCCGGCGCCGGCCTCTCGGGCCCCGCCGCGCTGCTGGGCTCCCCCGGCGCCGGGCCCGGCGGCTGCAGAAAGATGGTGGTGTCGGCCGAGATGTGCTGCTTCTGCTTCGACGTGCTCTACTGTCACCTCTACGGCTACCAGCCCCCGCGGAGCCCCCGCTTCACCAACGACCCCTAGTAAGTAGCCCAGCGGCGCCCCCAGACTCAGCCGGGTCGAGGGAGCCCCGTTGGGGAAGCGCATCGACGGATCGTCCCCCCCCCCCTCCGTCCCGCGATCCTGCTGGGCGGGAGGGCCCCCCAGGCCCCTGGAGGGAAAAGCGGGAGAAGTCCCCGGTCTTCCTGCCCCAGAAGCGAGGCTGGCTTCCTCCCTGATCCAGTTCCTCCTGGGTGGGGGCGCTTCCACGTGGCCCCCTTTTCTCCCCCGCTTGGCTCCGTGCCCGGCTGGGTTTCTTTGCCCCTCCCTGTTGCTCTTTTGGGGCAGTCCCCTCCCAGCTCCGCATTTGGTGGGGCAGCTGACTTTCCCTGCAGCAAGTTTTGGGGTGTCTCCTGATAGCCCAGCAACTTATAGACTGCCTCCCACAAGTCCCTGTGGTCCTTCAGCACCAGGGGTGCCCCCCAACAAATATCTTATTGAGCTTGACTTGAGCCGATCCCTATGGCTGTCTTGTTTGCTGGGCTATGGTCATTTTCCGGAATAGGATTTAAAACAATCTCAGTCAAGGGATTTCCTAGTGGTCTCCTATCTACACCCCTGCTTAGCTTTTCAAGTTGAGCCCAAGTTTTCTGAGTAATTTCCCATCATTACCGCAAGCAATATCTGGTAGGAGACCCAAACCCTTTCCCCGCTTTTATGGTTAGCATCCATTTTTCTCACTTTGGCTGGCTGGCTGTGTAGCTTGGCATTGAATGAATGGGGGTCCATTTAGCTGTCATTCATACATTTTAAGATTTCCTCTGGCCCTTTTGCACAGCCCCGTGGCAAACCTTGTGTATAACTTTTGTTTCGAGTTGTCAGATCTCTTGGGTCTGTTCCATGCTGATCAGCAGGAATGGTGGAGAGCTAGGAGGTTGGTGAATATTTATATATGCTCCTGCTGGCTTCACCAAATTTAGGGAATGTGATTAACTGCTTGATTCTAGTTGTCCATCTGGCAGGGTTTCTCAGAGAATGCTTGCCCTGCTTGGATAGTTTCAAAAATTGTTCTTTACTTCATGATCTCAGGGTTAGGAACTGAGACCTCTAAGCCAGCATAACACGTGTGTGTGTGTGTGTGTGTGTGTGTGTGTGTCCCCGTGTCCGTGTCTGTGTGTGTCCCAGAGTAGTTGTGGTGGAAAGTTAAAAAGGATATGAAAAGAATGTGTCCTTTTTCCTACTTACTAATCTCCCTCCTCTCATATCTTACTGTGACATCTCTACTGTCTTGGCAAATATTTATTAGTACAGGTAGTCCTTGACTTACAACAGCTCATTTACTGACTGTTCAAATTTACAGTGGCACTGAAAAAAGTGATTTATGGCTGCTGCAGCATCCCCACAAATTACATGATCAAAATGCAGATGCTTGGCAACTGATTCATATTTATGACGGTTGCATTTTCCCAGGGTCACATGATCTCCTTCTGCGACTTTCTGAGAAGCAAAATCAGTGGGGAAGCCAGATTTACTTAACAACCGCATTACTAATTTAACAGCTGCAGTGATTCACTTAACGATTGCAAGAAAGGTTGTAAAATGGGACAAAACTCACTTAACAAAGGTCTCATTTAGCAATATAAATTTTGGGCTCATTTGTGGTCATAAGTTGAGGACTACCTGTATTAGGATTTCCAGACTACAAGTAGTTTTCCACTTAACAACCATTCATTTAACAATGGTTCAAATTTACAATGGCCGTACGATGTATCCTTGCACTTATGACCTGTGACCATGTGATCATAATTTGGGAGTTTGGCAGTTGACCCACCAGTTGCAGTGTCCTGTGGTCACGTGATTGCGATTTGTAACCTTCCCAGCCAGTTTCCAACAAGCAGTGTTAATTGAGGAAGCTGGATTCACTTAATACCATAACTCTGATTTTCTTAACGGCCGCAGTAAAAATGGGCACAAAATCAAGTCCAAACATATGGATGACTCATTTTACAACCAGACTGATTTAGGAGGGATCACAATTGTGGTTATAAAATTGAGGACTATCTGTCCTGGGATTTCTTAGTTGCCTTACTACTTGCAAGGGTATTATCCTGTTTATAATAGCTGGATGAATCTGTATTTTAAATTCTATGTTGTCCATTCTGTGCCGTTTCCAGGGCAGTTTTTACAAGAGCATAATGCAAGAACAAGCCCCTAACAACATTTATTTCTTTTGACTTCCCACACCAAAGGTGGTGTTTCCTGTATCTGCTCACAACTAAAAGTTAATTAGAGAACCAAGGAAAAAGGCTAGAAATTAATTTTGAAAAGCTAATAGGAGATGGGGATAATACATAAACTCTTCAAGTGAACTTTGACTTCTGGTAACCTTGTGTTCCTGTCTGTGGGCTTTTCTTGACTACAACATAGACATGGTGTTGTATTGTCTTTTTGGCCCCGGCAATGTGGGTTCAAGTTAGTTTCCTAGAAATGGTGGTATCCCCAGTGGGAAAGCGCTATCTCACATTCCCATATATTCCTAACCTAAAGTGTGACCTTCATGCATTGCAGTGGTGAACACAGTTCTTCCTTTGGCCATTCAGCGATGCATCCCCTAAACATAAATGAACACTTAGAGGTGGAACAAGAACTAGTCAAAGACAAGAAGACATGAAGTACAGTCCTAACAGCCAGTCCATATTAAGAGGTGATTTAACATCTAACTTTATATCTAGGTAATCTTATTGTCAGACCCATATATTATGCATTACTGTAGACTGGTCTGTAGAGATTAGGAGAACCTAAGAGTGCCTGGACTATGTGTGATTAGAATAGAATAGAATACTTTATTGGACACACAAGGAATTTGTCTTGGTGTAAATACTCTCAGTATACATAAGAAAAGGTACATTCGTTAAGAATCAAGAATCATAACATAGAACACTTAATGATAGTCATAGGGTACAATCAACAATCAAATCATACTAGGAAACAGTCAAGTGGGAGGGGATGGGTGATAAAGAGTGATGAGAAAATTAACAGTAATAGTAGTGCAGAGTTTGTAATAGTTGAACAGGGTTGAGGGAATTATTTGCTTAGCAAAGTTATGGCTTTCGGGGAAAAACTGTTCTTGTGTCTAGTTCTGGTGTGCAGTGCTTTATAGCATCGTTTTGAGGGAAGGAGTTGAAACAGTTGATGTCTGGGATGTGAGGGGTCTGTAAATATTTTCACAGCCCTCTTTTTGACTCGTGCAGTATACAGGTCTTCAATGGAAGGCAGGTGGGTAGTAATTGTTTTTTCTGCAGTCCTAATTATCCTCTGAAGTCTGTATCTGTTGGGTTGCAGAACCAAACCAGACAGTTATAGAGGTGCAGATGATAGACTCAATCATTCCTCTGTAGAACTGGATCAGCAGCTCCTTGGGGAGTTTGAGCTTTCTGAGTTATGCTTTTTTCTTTGTTGTGATCAGGAGAGCCATAACTTAATTAAAGGAAGGTGTTCTGTGTCACAGAGCCTACTTTTGTCTTGAGTGATAGACTGATCTTGACATCAAGACATTATCATAGCTAGAAAAGGTGGTATACCTTCTCTAGAGTACATCCACCCATATGAACATGGCATGTGACAAACAACCATTTGTTGAAAACTAAATTATCATAAAAGTTGCTCTAAATTAGAAACAGGAGAGTGCTTTGTCTCATTCTTCCTAAATTTGTGGGTAGCTTTTGTCAGAAGTCTTTTTTATATTATTTTGCTTGCAGATGCTGTCTCATAAAGAAGTCACTCTTGGACTGTGCAGTAAAGCAAATTCCGCAGTTCTTTCTGGTTACAAAACCTGAACAATAATAATCTTTAAGCCTGTCAGGACCATCTAAAATGTTCAAAATTGGTAACTGAATTCCCTTGGGAATTGGGTAACTATAAATTGACCATTAAAAAAAAGATCTGGTCAGGAATGGCAGAGACCTGAATATTGGTGTAAAGATTTCCTGAAAATTGCTGATTTGTTGGAATACAACTTTTTTTTGCCTATCTCTACCTTATTATTGGTTTAATATTGGTTTAAATATTCTTCTCTTGGCTTGTGGACAATTTGTTGTGTAACACAAAAAAGAGCTTGGCTTATTATTAATGCCATGAAAGTAATTTCTCATTATACAATTTCCTTTTGCAGAGTTATATACAGTGACAATTTATTTCTAATGAACTAATATGGGTATATGTATCCTTGATCGTTTAAAGGTGCAGTTTTACAAAGCTAAAAGAATGTCTACCCGTGATTTCTATATTTGTTGTGTTCCTTGGTTCTGACAGAAAGGTACATGATTTTCTGTATACTGCCACATAGATTCCAGGAGTGTGCAGTTTTTTTTATTCAGTTCCAAAAGTCGTTTCAGAATCCTTGGAGGCATGAATATATCACCAAGCTATGAGAAAGGACATAGCTGCTTTAAAGAGTGGTCCAGTGCTGGCTGTTTTGTATTTTCCAAAACATCTTTTGCAATGGTGAACACAAATGGTAGCACGGCTTTAATGATTACTAGATTCTCCTTCCATACGTCACTTCTTAAGAAGTTTCCACCAGCATTTAGGTTAGGGATACAATCCACATAATATAAATATATTAATCATCCCCTGGACGACTGCCTTATAACAGGAGAGAATAAGAATGACAGGATTGCACCTTACAGTACCTAGCTTTTATATTTGCACTAAAAAGATGAAAGTAAATTAGGCATAAACATTCAATTTGGAGCAAGGCATTTATTCTGAATTACTCTAATGTGCAGGCTTGTGATCTTGCCTACGAAATTTCAGCTACCATATTGCAGCAATTCTTATGCAGCACCTTTCTTTCATCACTTCTCCCACATGGGACCCTGTTTTAATATTCAGCAATTTTTTTCCCTGTGCATTAGTTGCCTTATCCTATTCCTAATCCAGTTTATTGACCTCATTGCTGATGCTCCCTCATGTGCCAGGCTGAGCACATTAGATTTGTTTCCTGTAACAGTGAACTCAAAATGGAAGGTACAGCAGTTGGAAC